CAGGAATGCTCGACTATTGCCAGAGTTCTGCCCACATAATATAAAGTGCATAATTTGCAACATATAATTTTGGCAGACTTCTGGGTACATGTACAGATATATCTAATAGCCAACAACAAATTTGACTTTTATCATTTTTCAAATGAAAATAATTCATCAGTATCGCAACGAACCAATCAGTTCCCAACTAAAGCAACGGCAACTCTTTTGGCTTACCATGATCATCCTCTACATCGTCAACCCAATTTGAAGATTTCAGCGGTATATTAGGGGTCGGCCCGTTTCCGTCAGCGAGGAACGACCATAAATCGACAGTCACACCCTTCTTCTTCTTACCCTTCTTTCCTGTAATACACGCAAATTATCATTAGGACGTACCATTATACTCCGTCGCAAGTGTACCACAGAGCTGATATTAAAAGCATGGTGAGAGAGAGACCACGTCACAAGCAGTTTGGTTAGGTGCGAACATGCAGGGCAAAAAGGCCAACGCGAATGATATTTCCGGGATTATCTTTGCTTCGGAAGGAATCGTTCTTCAGCGGGAATTACGATTGCAAGTAATAAAACTGTACCTGAAGACATAATAACGATCCAAAATTAACGGAAATACGTGTCACTATCTCAGAGTCTACGTGAACCACACGACCAACCAGTCGTACGACCAGTAAAACATAAACTATATCTGTATAAGATGAATGATGAATATGCCATATGCCATATGCCCAAGAGTGCGTTCCAAAATCCTATTTCAGGATGGAAGAAGTTCATTTGAAATCAGTGTGATTGGACACAATCACTCATATCAACCGATGTCTAGAGTAACCAGGGCAATTGACCAATCAACGGTACGTTCGGAAACATTACCCGTGTACACACGAGCGTCGTTCTATCTTTGTCCAACTTTTAGTAAATAACAAAAATAAAACGGACAAAGTATATCGGTGTAAACTAGGCCAAAGACTACGTCTATGGTGGTATCTTCTTTTTCAATTAAAAAAAAAGAATTAATTTATACTACATTGAGATATTTGAGTTTGTAGTAATTGCTAAGAAAAGTAAAAACTGTTTATTTTATCTCTCGTTAGAAAGATAATTATGAATGACGCCAAATTTCTCGATATTGACGATTCTATCAAAATGAAAAATTTGTTACTACCAGTAAATATATGAAAAATATACATTAAATTAATGTACATAAAAAATGATTAGAATGATAAATATTCAATTTGTCCAATAGGATAAAGATAGAGATGCTTTAAATCAGCAGATGGATGTGTTAATGAAACAGTTTGATTCGAAAACTTCTATCCTTGTACAACCTATTCCTGGTTTGTATAACATTGTACACTGTTTAGCACGAATAAAATTTTTTTCAATATAATTATAGGTATCTGTGTAAAAACAAGAACAGCTGACAGAAAAAAAAGTTTTGTAAACATATGTGTATCTGATAAAATTCCACCACCAGAAGATATATCCGATATCAAACTATTTGAACTTTTAAATGATGAAGTACCTAATTATGTTATACCAATGAGTATATATGCTGAAAGGATGGAAGCTGATAAATGTAATGACAATCTCAGTTTTTTAAATATTATTAGAATTTACTAATTATTTTGTAAATAAATATTTGTGAATTTTTTATATATATATATATAGCTGGTATACCCAGTGCAACATACGACGTCATGATAAATGAAGCGTATTTTAAAAAGTGCCAAGAGAAAAAACATTTCATGGCATTTACGATATTAGTTATACTGAGTGGAGTGGCAGATAAATTTGAGAAAAAACTGGATACGGAGAATTATGTTATTCTTAAAAATCGAACAGTAAGTGTACATAAAAAATATTATGTAAATATTTATCTAAAGTATGTTAATGAATAATACTGCAGGTAATGGGGAAATTGCAACAGCATACAATAGAAAATCGCGAGCTTAAAAAGCCGCAAGACCACAAGCCATTGATTGAAGAAATTTCGAGTTCTATGACACCTATCATTAACACAATTAATATACAAGATAAAAATACAGCAAAAATGGATTATGTAATTTTAAGAAAACCATCAAAAGGTCCAGCTGAGCATTTAATAGTTTTATTTGACATGTCAAGAAGCGTGAGTCACAAAATTACTAAATAAATTATTTTACAGATTAGGTATTATATGCTTTTTTCTTTTGCAGATTTCAGTTGAGGATGTAGTAGTACTGATTAATTCTGATCGCATAAATGTCACGGATAAGAAAGCTTATTGTTCTTATGATATTTTACTTCCATATACACTTGAAGCAAATAGTGCAAAAGCCTTTTTGGATTATAGTATTATGGTAAAAGAATTTATGTATTCCTTTTTTTTCATTTTCTATATATATATATATATATATATTAGACCCATTATACATATTCCTTAATTTTTTCAGGTATTACGAATAGATACATTAATAAAACAAAAATAAAAAGTATAAATACTGAAATGAGATTCTACTTTCGCAGTTCCCTTTCTAAAAAAAATTTTAATTTTATCAAAATAATTAAAATTTTATTTACAATTCAAAAGCTTCTATTAATTTCTAACTTACAAAATATATATATGCTCTATATCAATTAATATTATTTTCTTTTTGGATCTAGATCTCTTAGTAAAAAAATAATAATGCTTAATAAATAAACAAGATATAAAATATATTTCGCAGAACAATATAAATTGAACAATAAGTTGCATATTAAGTTTTTCATATTTCTGTATAAAATGCCGGTCGTTCGATACCTATCGTGCCAAAAATTTGTGGCAACAAATATACTGTAATTATACCTATCATGAAACATGCTATATATTTGTATATTAGATCGACGAACACTTTATTTCCATTTCCACTATAATCCTGGCATTTCATAAGCTCCTTGCAATTAATTCGTAATATGGCACATACTATAGTGTAGCTGAGGTATTTGCAGAGAACTTTTGTTGCAATAACAATAGAAAAACCGAGTACAGTTCTAAGAATCAAGTGACCAAGCATAGAATATGTTGGCCAAACGATATGATATGGTGGTAAAACTAACGATGCACTTAATATACCAGTATAATAACTAAGCCATGCTCCCATGTGAATTCCTGC